GCGTGGTACATTCCCAAAGGTTTCGCCGGCATCGTCAGAGAGTATCGCCAGTCTTAGCAACATACAAAAACTCGTCAAAGAGACAAGTGAAGCGGATCCTTTGACTAAATGTCTGCTAAACAATTGTGGTATCTCCTCTTCTACCCTGGGTTATTTGCGTTTCCGGTAGCATCCTATCACGCCTTCACTATTACAATTTTTACTGTGTTTATTTAGATATAGCGTGATGTGCTCCTTTGTGCTTCTTTGCTCCGTAAAATCCGTCTGCTCTACCCTTTGTTCACCTATTTCACTCGACTCCTGCCACCACATCTGTTCTACTCGAGGCGTTATTCATCCTCCCCTGCGTCTGGGTGACTAAATTGAGGCGCAAGCCTCTGAGTGTCATGGTCACCTCTTTGCTACATGTACCACGTCTCTGGTACTTATTTTTCGTTTATAATTAGGGTCTCTAGAATACCAGATACGCTAATTATACTTATATCATTGTGGGAAAATACAACTGCCAGTCCTTCGTCACCTCAAAAATAATAGGGTAAATACATCTCATATAACTGATTTACTGGTTTTCTCGAAACTCTACTTATGAATGAAAAATAGATAATGTTATCGATTGTCATAGCAAATATAACTTTGCTTCATCGACACTCCCACTAAAGAATATGATATGGGAAATGGCTAACCTTCCTTGAAGTTAACATCTGCCCTGTGACTTAAGGGCACTCGTGACAATGTGGCGTAGTAGTTAACGTGTCGAGATTGTACACTGAACTGTCATGGTTCGAGTCACGATGGGGGTGCTAGGTGAGATCAAAGCTGCAGTCAACCCTGAATAAAAATACTTTTTGGGAAAGCAAAGCCATGTGCAATTCAATGGAGACGTCAGTTCTACTCATAACATTATTGGAAAATGCAACTACCAGTCCTTCATCATCTTAAATGTGATAGGGTGAATATATCTCATATAAAGTTATTAATCTTTTTAACTTGATAAATATTTATAAAGTCAATTTTTAAATATTTTTTAGGTATGCTTTTAATTTGGTAGGTTTATAGCCCGAAAGTTGCTTATTTATGAGTTTACACTGTCTTTCATTTTAGTACGCTTTAATTCAGAGAATCCACCAAAACACCCTTTGAAAGACGATTCTATG